ACCCTACGGCTAGACTGGCGACCACAGTGGCGTGGTATGCATCGTTGACGAACGTTTTACCCTCAGACATTATGTATATGATATAAAAATATATATTTATAACATGATATGTGGGTTGACCTCTAATTGTGGGGGAGGGACCCCCTCGGGTTGTTTATTAAATAACAATAATGAGAGAGCCGCTGCAGCAGTTGCGCCAATCCACAGGAGTGGAGCCGGTTCCGCGTAGTAGTTACTCTTATGTTGGTTAGACCACCTTTTTCTACCGGCGGCGACTCTCTTAGGGTTCTTCTGCCTGGTAACTGTAGGGTTCACCTCCTGGGGGGTCTCCCCCAGTTGGGGTGGATTTCCCTCGTTCACCTCCTCTGTCATTTCTTGGGCAGCATCCATCTTGTATACTATTATTATTATTTTCCCCTCCTTAAATTGGCAATGCTTTGCTGTGATAATCGCCGCCCGTCACGGGGCTAAAACATACCATATTTGTGGTACAGCACACAGCTGATAGAGCTCAAAGGCGTGTTCAATAAGCGGGTCTTTCTCAAGGTCCTCCCACAGATAAAGTCGGCGTTCCTGTGGAATGGGAAGGAAGTGCGACACTATACCAGTGTAGATCTGGGTCATAGCCGATCCTATAGTCTCTGTCATCTCGGCCCGAGTCTAGTCTCATTATCTAGCGTACAGCTTATCGATTTCTTCGGTTGACATTTTGTGAATTTTATCGAGTGTAGTCCCCAAAGTATTGTTTGGCTTTACCACCAACAGCCAACGTTACCAGTCTCTCAGTCTTGTCATCGTCCCCTCGCCTATCCCCCTCCACCAACAGTTGTTCTAGCAATTCATCACACTCCATCTTATAATGTAATAAGCAAGTTTTAGTTTTAATAATATAATACCCGATGCAGGTGAAACACAGCGAAATGAAGGTTAAGTTGCACATGATGAGCACTTCAAAAACAACCATCGGTCTTCCCTATCGAACTGTAACAATTAATTGCTAAGCTTTGCTAAGCATTTGCTAAGCATTTACTAAGCATTGCTAAGCTAAAACACCCTATAGGCCACGGGTTGGTCGGTCTTGAGCACGAGCTTAGCATGTTTAGTTTCAGCGAGCTGTTTCTTCACCAATTCCCTATCATGTTTATTCATCACATCGTTCTCTCTCAAACACTCCTCGAACGAATCCCTGTCCTTGCAGTGGAATAAGGCAACCCATCATGTCTGCTCCCTGAGGTCTTTCAACACCGAGTTGAACTTCTGCGTTAGCACCCAGACGCTGTGCTTTGCGTGCCGGCCGGAGAAGGCCAGGTACGATAGCATGTCTCTCTTTTTTGTTATCTCCCGATTAACGCTGCAGTCGTCCAGTATGAACAGCGTCGACTCCCCTTTAAATTTGTTGTGATAAGCCTTCAACCAGTCCTGCAGACGTGTCCCCGGGTCGACTCTGTGTACATCCGGGTCAGTCATCACCCAAGGTCTTTCCGTGTACGTTCTATTCATGTGCAGAGTAGGGTAGAGTAGAGTAGAGTAGATAGTAAGCTATGTCTAGATAGACATTATCGATTTTATCCACGACCCACCCGGAACCCATGTGCGTGTAGCGTTCTAGGTATTCTTGTATCTGCTGAAAAATGATATCGATTGACTCGTCTGTAGTTTCGGTATGAGTCACGACTTCTTGTTTACCTCGGAAGTAAGGCTGAACGTACTCAATGACCCCCCCATGGGGGGTTCCCCCCTGCTGTTTATCGAGTGACATTTTCACTGTGATTTGAAACTTTATACTTCCCAAATCGTTTAGTTCCTCATTGACTTTATCAGCGATTAGAGGCTTGATATCGGCGATGTCTATGTTCCTACCAACATGCATGCGCCAGCCTCTCAAATAGTTGCCTACAGCGCGCTCAGTGCGCATGAACTCTAGGTCAATAGCTCTATTATGCGTGAATAGTTCTACAAAGCTGTGGTTTCCTCATCACGGGGAATAACCTACTAACCCCAACTCGCGGGCCTCCTGTTTGAGTTGTTTCACAGTGTGGGGCTTTGCTACAGGGTCGTGTAATAATAATGTGACTAACCCGGCTTTTCCCAGGCGGGAATAACCCGTCAACCCTAGCTCTTTTGCTCGGAGTTTTAATTGTTTTACCGTGGGAGGGGGTTGTATGTTAAGTAATCTCAACAACGCTGGTTTCCTCATTCGAGAGTAACCAATTACACCTCGCTCTCTCGCGATCTGCTTGAGCTCCCGAGTAGTAGACATTGTGTACACACATAACTAGATCAATCTCTAATTGGGCAGCCGGGAAGGTAACTCAAAAAATTTGTTCACCAATAATAACCGTATCGATTATTGGCTCAGTGTCGTATTCCCGTTTTATTATTTCCAGAAATTCGCTGATATATGAATGTAAATCAACTGACTCAGTCAAAATATACTCTCTGAAGACATCCTGATTTACAACAATCATCAGTTGACAGTTGATGTGTCCCAATTCTTGAGTTTGTTAATAATAAGAGGCTTGGCATCAGTAATAGATACATGTTCAATTAAGCCAGCTATTCATTATTTTTATACTTGTAAATAATCTCTAATTACACCTCTATCCTGAGGAAGCCCTCGTTCTTTTCTGTAGTCTTTTTCTTCTTCGTAGATAAGATGATGTCTGACTACGTTTGCTCCGTGAGCTTTGCATAGGCAGTAGTGACCTTTCACCCGATACCACACACAGAACCGTGTAGTTGATACTCTTTATATGAAAACAACAGTACCCCTCAGTCCTGCATCTCCTACCGCGAGCCTCGGTCTTCCCCTAAGTATGTATTCACATTAGTGCGAGCGGGTCTCATCTTTGGTATACACATATGAGTACTAAGTCTAATTGTTTTACAACCAAGCGCCCAGTGGCTGCTAGGCCCAGCGATAAAGATCAATTCGGTCCTTTTGCCCGGGGATGGTGTGTAATACTGGCGAGTGTGGGCTGAGGGAGAAGTGGTTCGGGCTGTTGCGGTTACCAGGAAGTATTCTCGATCGCGGCTTCAGCGCTCACTCGAATGTTTTAAAGGCATGGTTCTCGCGCTGGAGTTGTTAGTTTAATGTTATCGAGCCACTGTATGTCACGTTTCTTGGCGTACTTTCGGCGTGCGCGGCTTGTAATTTCTCCACAGCCAAATCATTGGCGTTTTTCGTTTCAGCGTCCGACCCATGTAGTTTCAAGAAGAGGAAATTACTCGGAAAATGCCAGGGCGTTTAGTAGCGCCCGTCAACCATCATGGCGATCGTAGCCATCCTATATATAGTTACATTTACTTACATTTTCGGTAGGATCCCTTGTTTCTCACGAGGATGTCCTTGGTGGCCATCGCCATACTCAGGTTCATTATGAGCATACCCATATCCTGCAGATTGAAATCTAACTTGATAGTCGGTTGTTTAAGCACCATTTTGGTCAACCGGCGTACCCTCTGACTAGACTGGCGACCACAGTGGCGTGGTATGCATCGTTGATTGAGCGTTTTACCCTCAGACATTATGTATATGATATAAAAATATATATTTATAACATGATATGTGGGTTGACCTCTAATTGTGGGGAGAGGACCCCTCGGGCGAGGCCGTTGTTTATTAAATAACAATAATGAGAGAGCCGCTGCAGCAGTTAACCTGCAATCCACAGGAGTGGAGCCGGTTCCGCGTGTAGTTACTCTTATGTTGGTTAGACCACCTTTTCTACCGGTGACTCTCTTAGGGTTCTTCTGCCTGGTAACTGTAGGGTTCACCTCCTGGGGGTCTCCCCAGTTGGGGTGGATTTCCCTCGTTCACCTCCTCTGTCATTTCTTGGGCAGCATCCATCTTGTATACTATTATTATTATTTTCCCCTCCTTAAATTGGCAATGCTTTGCTGTGATAATCGCCGCCGTCACGGGGCTAAAAACATACCATATTTGTGGTACAGCACACAGCTGATAGAGCTCAAAGCGTGTTCAATAAGCGGGTCTTTCTCAAGGTCCTCCACAGATAAAGTCGGCGTTCCTGTGGAATGGGAAGGAAGTCACGACACTATACCAGTGTAGATCTGGGTCATAGCCGATCCTATAGTCTCTGTCATCTCGGCCCCAGTCTAGTCTGCGTATCTCAGATGCGTGCACAGCTTATCGATTTCTTCCGGTTGACATTTTGTGAATTTTATCGAGGTGTAGTCCCCAAAGTATTGTTTGGCTTTACCACCAGCAGCCAGCTACCAGTCTCTCAGTCTTGTCGCCGTCCCCTAAACTATCCCCCTCCACCAACAGTTGTTCTAGCAATTCATCACACTCCATCTTATAATGTAATAAGCAAGTTTTAGTTTTCATAATATAATACCCGATGCAGGTGAAACACAGCGAAATGAAGGTTAAGTTGCACATGACAAACGCACTTCAAAACAACCATCGGTCTTCCCTATCGAACTGTAACAATTAATTGCTAAGCTTTGCTAAGCATTTGCTAAACATTTACTAAGCATTGCTAAGCATTTGCTAAGCTAAAAACACCCTATAGGCCACGCGGTTGGTGGGTCTTGAAACACGAGCTTAGCATGTTTAGTTTCAGCGAGCTGTTTCTTCACCAATTCCTATCATGTTTATTCATCACATCGTTCTCTCTCAAACCTCCTCGAGGCAATTCCTGTCCTTGCAGTGGAATAAGGCAACCCATCGTGTCTGCTCCTGGCGGTCTTTCAACA